AGAGAGAGAGGGGTGGGGGGAGGATAGGCGTGAAAGACAACAAAGCAAGATACAAGAAAAATACAACAACAACAAAAAAAAAGAAAAGAAGAGTACTTCAAATGATACAGCTGCATACAGTAACACGGTGTATTCAAATGCCTCTATGAAGATATTATGATGTCCAGTACTCACCATTGACGTCGATGGTGAACCTGCCTAATCCAGTCCCGTCCTGAATGGTATAGAACACCTGTCCCACTCCGCTGCTCGACTCGTCATAGTCCTCAGCTTGCACGTGCATCACATACGATCCAATGGGAAGATTCTCAGCGACATATCCACGCGCGATGAAATCCGGGAACTCGGGTGCGAACAGATTCTCATTCACGTCCATCACCTCGATGGTGAGCAAACACGTGGAGGAGAGAGAGGGCTCACCCCCGTCCTCGGCCAACCCGCTGATGACGTAGACTTGTTGGGTCTCGTAGTCCAGTTTGCGCGTGATCCGGACTGAGCCGGTCAGCGCGTCCACCTCGAAGTTCGGGTGGAGACCGTCAGTGAATGAGTATGTCACGTGCCCGTTGGCGCCTTCGTCCAGGTCGTGGGCCGTGAGCGTGCTTATGACGGCGCCGACAGGTAAATCCTCACGGACACGGACGAGGTAGTCCTTGGGTACAAACACAGGACGGTTGTCGTTGACGTCCGTGATCGTGATATTGACCACGGTGGTGGACGAGAGCCTCACGGAGTGACCACTGTCCGAAGCTTGTACTACCAGTGCCTGGTAAGGTCGGAGTTCACGGTCAAGCGCCCGTTTGACCTTGATGACGCCGTGGTGAGGGTCGATGAAGAAATCTTGGTCGTCGGACACGATGGAGTATCGAACATCTCCGTTGTCCCCCGTGTCCACGTCTGAGGCCGTTACCTGGAGGACGGTAGAATTGACCATCGTCTTTTCGTTGACCTTCCGTGAGTAGAAGGACTTTTCAAACACAGGGGCGTTGTCGTTCTCGTCCAGTACAGCAATCCTCACCTCTATGGTGGCCGTCAGCTGTGGCTGGCCCAGGTCGGAGACGGTCAGTTTCAGACGGTAAGCTGATTTTGTCTCGTGGTCAAGCGGGGAGAGAACAGTCAGTTTTCCCGTAAAGGTCTCCAGGTTGAAGTGACCGTGTGTGTCATCGCCGTCCGCTATGACGTAGACGAGCTGACCGTCGTAACCGGTGTCGATGTCGGTCACGCTGGGGGCGAGAGACATTACAATAGAGCCGACAGCGGCCTTTTCCGATACTTCATAATAGTCGGAAAACGTTTTGGCGATGGTTGGTTGATGGTTCCTCGTTTTGGGTCTCCTATCAAGCACCAAAGACTGGGTATCCGCGTTCGCCTCTTTTGACTTTTGGATTTGTTCCTGCAGTCGAGAAGCAACGTCTGTCGTCTCACAGCTCACTCTGACGTCATCCATAGCGAGTGACGGGTTCCGTTTATTGTTGACTAACGTCAGCTCGACGGTTGTGGGAGTGGACACATGTTGACCATCACTGGCAACAACGGTCAAGACACGGGGACCGTCGTGATAGCGAGACATGTCACAGTTGACTGAAATAGAGCCAGTTGAAGGAACGATGGAGAAACAATCATCATCATTTCCCTCGGTGATGCTGTACGTTATGATATTCCCGGAATCGAAATCTATAGCGGTGAGAACAAGAACTTCCAGCTTCTGAGGCGACTCGCGCGAGAGATAACCAGAACACTTGATCTTCTCAAACTCGGGGCTGTTGTCGTTAACATCCTGTACGCGCACAGTGAGTACCATGTCCTCCTCTCTCTTGAAAGGTGTTCCCCAGTCGCTCACTCGGAGATGAAGCTCGTATTTTCTCCGCATCGTCTCGAAATCAAGGACCTCCGCCGTGGTAATCACACCCGTGAAGGCGTCTATGTGGAAAGGGACACGGTCCGAGTTGACGATACTGTAGCTGAGTTTCCCGTTGTCCCCGCTGTCTTCATCACTGGCGGTCACCGTCAACACCTCGGCACCTTTAGGTAGATTCTCCCTCACATCCACATAATCCTGAGCTAGGTTAAAGATCGGTGCGTTGTCATTGAAATCTTTTACGTCTATTATAACCCGCGCCTGACCGGTTTTCCGGGAGCCGCTGTTGGCCTGGTCTTGCGCTTGGACGACCAGCGTGATTTTGAGGTCACGTTCTGCGTCCAGGCGCCCGGAAGTGAGAATCAGACCCGACAGGGGATCGATGCTAAACAGAAGCCTCTCGTTCCCGTCCACGATGCTGTAGCGGACTTCGGCATTCGATCCGATGTCTTTATCTGTGGCTTGGACGATGACGACAAACGAGTTCCCGGGAGCGATTTCCGAGAGCTGAACTTCGTAGACGTTGTGTTCAAACTCCGGCTCGTTATCGTTGATGTCCACTACAGGGACTGGAATTGTGGAAGTGGACGTCTTAGGGGGTGTGCCCTTATCCACAGCGATGACCGTCACGTTGTAATTTTCCGGCATCGCCTCTCTGTCCACTGACGTCACGACCACCAAGTTGTACAGACCGTTAGAGTTGTCCGCGATCAGGTTGAAGAATCCGAGTGTGTCTCTCTCTATGGCCACACCGCCGATGTTCCCGTTAGGGCCGATGTCCTGGTCAGAGATGGTCAGAACGGCGAAGACTGACCCGATGTTCCCGTGTTCTATCAGACTGTCGTGGCTGTCCACCTTGATAGACGGAGGGTGGTAGTTGACCGGAAGGATATTCACCGTGAACTTTGTGAAACTGTTGGGGGAGGAGCTTCTCCCAGGGGAGGTGATCCCGCGATCTTGTGCCAGGATGTCCAGCTCGTACTTCTTCCTGCCGGCGTAGCGGACCGGTCTGGACAGTGAGATGACCCCCGTGGCGGGGTGGATGGCGAACATGAGGGTAGCCTGCACGAAGCTGTAGTAGATCTCCCCGTTAATGCCTACGTCAGCGTCAGACGCCTTGACCTGCCCGATACTCTGATGAAGGGGTGTGTCTTCTGGAATGCTGACGTCATAGGGGACGCTCGAGAACAAAGGACTGAACTCATTCTGGTCCAGCACCGTCACGACTACGTTACTGAACGACTCCAGAACGATGTCTCCGGGGTAACTCCCTCGCGCCTTCACGCGGAGGTGAAACATCGAGTTCAACTCCCGGTTCAGCATACCGTAGTTAACGGTTTGAGTTCGGATCCTGAGGAAGCAGAAATCCTTGACCGTGGTGGTCTCGGCTTTGAAGACTCCCCGGGGGTCACCTCCCACGATAGTATACTCCATGTCGATGGAGCTTGGGCGTTTGAGGAGGATGCCCATTCGCTGCGGCGTCTGGACGTACGCCTTGCCTATTGTGTTCTCGTAGATGGTTCCGTTGTACGTAGGGAGGGTGAAGGCAAAGTTGTCCTCTGTCAGTGCACTAGCTGAACCCCCAGTGGCCGTTGATTGCCCCAGAGCGAGTGGTGACGTCACCACACACAACCAGACAGCCACCACCCACTGTAGCAGGGGTGGGGCTCCTCGCTGCTTCATTGTGACCCCAACTGAAACACTGAAAAAGCAAAAGTGATATGTTAATGGAAACAAATAAAAAGTACAAGGGAAACTTTAATGAAAACGCAAGAGTAAAATGGAAACATTAATGAAAAACGCAAAAGTAAGACGGAAACATTACTGCTTGTCTCTTTGGCTCTTAGATACTTATACTGCCATAAAAAAAATCATCTTGTACTTTAAAAGAAAAAACCACGAGAAACAGAAAAGGACGAGTAAAGAGGTAGATGAACGTCCTAACCACTTGCAAACACCAAAGCGCGTAAAAATAAATGCATTCACCTGGGTCCACGAAAAGAATCAAACGGTGTGAATTTGTAGCATATAAACTAACTAAATTACAGATCATAGAACCCACCCAGCAAACTGATAACCACTTGTGAATAATATGTTTTAATTATCCCTATATCTAGAATCTTTAAGTCACAACAAATGTAAGCATAACCCATTCATTTAATGCAAATAGATCAATAAACAAATACATACAAAATCGAATTCGTCAAAACGGCCACCCATTGTCAAGGAGAAAATGAGCAGTCTTAGACATGGGGAGGCCAAGGACAATAATAAGAAAAAGGCAACGATAGAAGCGGTAAGTAACTGTTTCCAAGGGTGATCGTTGTCTAGGACAGGTGGCCGTTAGACTTTAGAGCAGGTTCAACTGTTGGCCTTTTTTTAAACATGCTTCAATTATCTTTTGAAACATTTTTAGACAGTTAAATACAAAATTAAATGTATTTGCACAACAACATTAACATTCGCATGTGACAAGGGTCTGCCAGGTCGTCTCGAGTGGTGTTTCCGCCTTCCACCCACACACATACCCCTCACTCAGAGCTGTATCATAGCTGTGAAGAGCATGCCTATGTTATCTCTCAGGTCATTGAACATCCAAGATGAGATAGCTGTTTTGCTTTTCATCTCTCTCTCTCTCTCTCTCTCTCTCTCTCTCT